TTTTTTTTTTATACTCGTTTGGTAAATAAGCGCAAGTACGGCCATCGGTTGAGTTTTTTTAATCGTACATCGAGTACACATTTTTTGGATGGAGTAAACATCGAGAGCAAAAGATACGAGAGCGCGAGGATGGAGTTCTCCCTCCCCCCTCTATAGAATATATATCACCCGGTGATTTCTAATCACACGATAGCAACATTATACCTTTTTTTTCTCGCCTTGTTTTCCATTTTTTCTACCAGTAGGTATGCACTTACGCTTATCGTTTGTGGATTTTGGTGACACAACAGGGGTCTTTATTGTGCGGACGACTGACGAGGGCTCGGGGGGGGGGGGCGACACACGAGTTGTTCGATAACTTTGACACCGGCATCACGGGTCACGTGTTACGGCGGTATCTTCAGCCCAGCGATGCTGAATAATATATAAGAGATGCCACGACGTTCACGGAGACAGTCGTTTGTCAACTGTTACGTGCCCGGGTAAGTATCCATCCAGCGTTAAATGTGTACTTTCTTTTACACGCGCCGTTTTTTTTTTTTTTTTTTTCCTTTTGGAATATTAAGGCACTGCTTTTTTCGGCTCAACCGAAGGAGTACATTGCTTCAAAGAGAATTAAAAAAAAACATTAGTCGTTGAGCAAAAAACCGTTGTCGGAGTCAAACGGTGCGGTTGCCCAGAAAAATCTCGAAAACAATGTAACGCGTAAAAAGTAAAACGCCAATTTGATTTTTCCGTAAATACAGGATCAGGTGATCCAGCGAAAAATGGCATCATTGACAATAGTCCTCGCGACCCTTGGTCTGCTGTGCACCAGCACCCTGGCAGCCGAGATGAAAACCTTCGTCAAGGAGTACCACGAGGAGAGCGCCGATTTCATGGCGGTGCCCCGGAATATCGCGATGGCCGACCAGAGCTTCGCGTACCTGACCTGCGAGCGCCTCCAATCGCCCCACGAGCGCCAGTGCCAGGTGACGATGGAAATGCCCGACAAACCCCACAAGCGGTGCAACTTCAAGCTCGTCGAGCCCGAGACCCGGGAAATCCTCCTGAACAACCAGACGAAGCTCAAGACCTTCGCCGGCAACAAGGCCCTGATCGAGCTCTTCTCCAGGGACAGGGTAAACGGGTACGAGCACCAGTACCGAAAAATCGTCCTCGTCGACTTCGACACCTGCCAAGACCGGCACCTCGACTTCCCCCTGGACAGGGTCGACTGGCCCAATTACCAGGTCGTCGTCTACCACGACAGCTTCGACGTGTACGTGACGAGCAGGGCCCTCTGCGGCGAGGCCCACGGTAGCCAGTGCATCCTCCGGTACAACAAAGAAGGTAAGGACGTTAGTCAAAGCAATTGCACGACAAGCACACTCAACGCGATCGACCCCCATTTAAGGTGAGCGAATCGGCGAGCTCGTTGGGTTTTCCTCCAAGTACGCCAACGTGTACTCGACGGTCGTGGACCCGTACGCGCCGAAGAGCGGTGCCTTCTTCGCGGCTGTCGACTGGCACAAGAACGGCAGCGGCCTGATGCACGCCACCCACGTGAGCCACGAGGGCTCCGAGACGGTCCTCTACAGCTACCCCATAAGGGACAGGGGCATGTTGAAGCACATAGTGGGGTCTAACGAGCACAAGTACTGGACGTCCTGCCACTTGGAGGAGCCGGAAGGCGAGGTGGCCCACTGCTTGCAGTACGACCTGGAGGGCCGGAGGATGCTGATGGACGCGAACATCGAGCTGGGAAAGGGCCACAAGATGCTCAACGTGTTCGGCCGACAGGGGGGTGGTGTGCTGTTTGTGTGCCGGGGCTGCAGTGGCTCGCCCGACTGTACCACCGCCCACGTCAAGCTGGTGGCTGCGGACGGGAGTGTGGACGGGCACTTGGAGCTGATCGGGGTCGAGTACAGGTGCGCGTCGCCCTCCAAGAAGCTCAGCGTTGACCACCTGGAGACCGAGACCCAGCATTGCTTCTACTTCGCTTGCGCGCACCACGAGGAGGACTCCGCGGCCGGGGTCAACTTTAAATACTTCAACAAGTGCGTGGACAAGAAGACGTGAATCAGCTGCCGATCTTTTTTTTTCTTACACTGAGTAGTTTTAGTTGTTGCTATCTCGAATGTCAAATATATATATATATATCTTTAAAATT